TTTCAAACTACTAAATTGGGAGAAGCTGGGACAAGTAACGGGAGCTCACTCTGTGACGCGGCACTAGGGATTCGAACCGCCGAACCGCCAGCCTTTTCTGATCGACAAGCTCAGCGTCTTAGCGACTGAGCCACCGCATCCCTTAAGAAAGAAAGTAAAATGGGACAAAACCCAATAAACGTTTCGGTTAGCAACAGAAATGTTGGACTCAATGGTGGTTGTAAGTCGAGTGGCCACTTGGAGGTTTAACCTGTGTCCTCAAGGTCCTGAGGGCAGCAAATGGGTATAGAGTCTTCTTGGAAGTTCTGAAAGGATTGTGTTGTAAACCGGCGGTAGATGATGTCGTGTCCCACCTCCTCTGTTTACAGAGGGATGTTCTATCTTAGTGTAAAACTTTGGCCAGTGGTGGGATTCAAATTTTTTTCCTACCAGTTCTGTGGGTGTGGCTTGGTGGGCATGGCAGGGGAAGGATACTGTAAAATCCCCAGTCAGAGGTGGCATATGCTGGTTCTCTGAACTACTCAAAATTTCACTACCAGTTCTCCAGAACTGGTCAGAATCTGCTGAATACCACCTCTGTCTTTGACCTCTCTTTCAATCCAGCGGTCTTCTTTGACCAGAATTTGCTGTCCATCTGCATTTGAAAGGCAACGATCACTCTTTTGAAGACAGCAATGTCCACATTCTGGACATAGAGGACCACGAGTTGGAAAGACCAATGTCCAGGCCATCTGCAGTAAGATGGAACAGCCCTCCCTCAACAGAGAGGGAAGGTTATGACACAACCTATCTCCAGTTTACAACAAACTCCTTTCGGCTGTTCCAAGAAGGATCCATACCCCTTTGCACTATTCAAGTGACCTTGAGGGCACAGATAAACCTCCAAGTGGCCTCAATGACTCCCAGAGGGAGTGCTAATGACCAGAGGACCGCAAGGAATATAAATCCTTCCATCCTCCACCCTTCCATCAGAACTGAAGAAGCTTCTCGGATGAGAAGCGAAACCTCTTCAAGGAAAAACAAAGGAAGTCCCGTTGCCTTTTGAAAAAGCACCCTTGGGACAGGCCCTGACCTGGATGGCTGAGACTTTCCATAGACAGTCTTTGCATTGTGTTATGAATTCCTAAGATGGTTGCTGCTGTCAAAAATGTTGATGCTATTTGAAGTTGATAAGAACCTTCATCTCCACAATGCAAGACATAAAAAGCCCAGCTGATTCTGGACTTGTCAGAATTCCTCTAAGGCAAGTCACAGTCATCCATGCCTTAGTCACCTCCTGTCTTAGCAATTGCAATAGGTTTTACATGGGGCTGCCCTTAAAATAAATACCTGGAATCTTCAACTGGTTCATAATGTGGTTTTGTGTAGGTATAGATTTGCACACATGTCTCACCTCCCCTGCGATAGCTGCATTGGTTGTTGACTTGCTTTTGGGTCCAAGGTATTAGTTGCCATCTTTAAAGCCTTCCATGGCTTAGTGCCAGGTTATTTGATCCACCTGGTACAGGTCATCTTGCTACCTGCTCCATGCTCAAGTCTTAGGTAGATGTATGGAAGGGGAAGATTTTGCAAGATGTAGCGTCAGTTTACATGAATTTTAATTCCTTCTCTCTCACTTCGGGGTTTCAAAACTTGGAGAAACCCTTGCACTGTGGACACCAGAATGAGTGCAGGTATCTGACTCCTGGAATGTAGCCATAAAACACCTTTGCAATATTTTATTAGCAAGATAGAAAACAGGTTTGGACCAGAGCAATAGTAGATCCATGATTCATTGTTACCTTTGTTCCTATGTCTCCCCCCACCCTTTTAATCTACTGAATTAAGTGATCCACTCATTACAAGATGCAAAGAAATACTGAAATGATTCTTCAGGTTTATATTTTAATCTGAGTTACTAATGTGAAGTCAAATTATTGATGGACTTCAAGTATATTTTGGCATCTGGAACTCCTTCTGTATGTGGAACCCTTCAGCTCAGAGCAATTGTCCTATGGTGAAGGTTATCCTGACTGTGCTGGGGAAATCTCCATAATCCCCATTCTCCGTTAGCACTGATGGTGTTCCCTAGTTGGGTCATGAAATGTCTGCAAGAAAACCAACTTTAACAAGCTTGCCAATGACCTCACAGTTCAATCCTGAACCGCAAATATTCTCTTCTATCAATATTCATCATAGTTTAGAAAGCAGAAAGGGTGAGAGTTCTTTGTAGCTCTTTGCTGCCCTCTAGTGTGGTTGCTGGGATTTTTCCAGTGCAAATATGGCACCTCTGTTGTGGTCTGCCCTCAGTTTAAAAAAAAAAAGAAAAAAGAGGAAGACTTCAATTGGAAGTGTTGATAAAATAATCCAAAGACTGCATTGAATGCAAGTGCAGAAATTTATTAACCTGCTTATGTTAAAATTACACAGATTGGTAGCGTTGAATTGAAACCTCTTGCAAAGCTTTCTTGTTAATCAAGAGAAGGCAACCTGTGGGGCCTATCTTCCCATTTACACCTCTCCCAGCACCCTGAGATCACGCCACCGAATATTGGCAGTGACACTGCGATGACAGGAATTATGCAGAGTACTGGTCAAGGATCTGTGTGCCGAAAGGCAGGGCATTCTCTCTCTCTCTCTCTCTCTCTCTCTCTCTCTCTCTCTCTCTCTCT